AGGAATGGTGTTCCTAGCCTCTGTTTGTCAGAGGATGGAGATGGATGGCAGGAGCGAGATCACTTGATCATTGCCTGTTGGTCCACTCCCTCTGGGACACCTGGCATTGGCCACTGTCGGTAGACATGATACTGGGCTAGATGGACCTTTGGTCTGACCCGGTATGGCCGTTCTTATGTTCTTATTTAATGTTGGGAATCATTAAGAAAGGGTTACGATAGATAATAAGACAGAAAATATCATATTGCCTCTATATAAATCCATGGTACGCCCACATCTTGAATACTGCGTGCAAATGTGGTCACCCCATCTCAACAAAGATACGTTGGAATTGGAAAAGGTTCAGAAAAGGGCAACAAAAATTATTAGGGGTTTGGAACGGCTGCTGTACGAGGAGAGATTAATAAGACTGGGACTTCTCAGCTTGGAAAAGAGACAACTAAGGGCGGATATGATAGAAGTCTAAAATCATTTGTGGTGTGGAGAAAGTAAATAAGGAAGTGTTATTTACTCCTTGTGATTTCATATGAACTAGGGGTGACCAAATGAAATTAATAGGCAGTAGGTTTAAAACAAACAAAACGAAGTATTTCGTCACACAACGCATAGTCCACCTGTGGAACTCTTTGCCAGAGGATGATGTGAAGGCCAAGACTATAACAGGGTTCAAAAAGGATCTAGATAAGTTCATGGAGGATAGGTCCCTTAAAGGCTATTAAGCAGGATGGACAGGGATGGTGTCCCTAGCTTCTGTTTGCCAGAAGCTGGGAGTGGGCGATGGGATGGATCACTTGATGATGACCTGTTCTGTTCATTCTCTCTGGGCCACCTGGAATTGGCCACTGTTGGAAGACAGGATACTGGGCTAAATGGACCTTTGGTCTGACCCAGTATGGCTGTTCTTATGAGATTCTTTAAAACCAAGTCAGCTGAAGCTGCTTGCTTCCCGAGTGGGAGAATATTTGACCCACAACATGCTAGGCTATTAAAGGGACACGGGGCTTGATCCAACTCTTGCCGAAGTCACTAGGCCCCTTCCCCTTGACTTGAATGGGAACTGGACCTGGTTCAGGGAGTCTGCAGTGTGCAGTGAAACATGTTACACCTTTCCTTGTGGATTTCCTTTGCCTCCTGGACAAGGTCCTGATGGATCCTGGGATGGACTGCTACATAAAACCCTGAGCTGAGACTCGAGAGACTTGACTTCAAGTCCTAGCCCTGTCACAGACTTGCCACATGACCTTGGACACATCTCTTGATCTACCCTGTGGCCCAGTTCCCTGTCTGTCAAATGGGGATAGTAGCAGAAGGGTCTTGTGAGGATAAATACGTTAATTACTGTGAGACATTCAGGTGCTAAAGTTTTGCCTTTCTAAGCGCAGAGATAGAATATGGTCTTGCAGTAGGGTGTACAGACCCTGGCCAGCGTCTGGCTGGCAGCAGGTTAACATTCTTGAGCGAGGACCATGGCTTCAGTGCCTTTAAATGCCAGGATTATCAGGGAAACTGGCAGCGTGGGTGGTCCTAGCTTTGGGGAATTAGGTGATTCCCTGGCAAATGTTGTTCTGTCTCTTACCTCTCTGAGAAGAGGGGATGTTAGAGTGATGGTCAAGGTAAAGCAAGTGACAGAGCTCCAGGCCTCTAGCCTGGCCTGCCTCAAACTGTACAAGGTCATTGATGACAAACTCTGATTTTTAGGCTAAAGAATTCTTCTTTGCCGGGAATCTAGCTAGGTTGTAGTACATCCATCTGTGGACAGGTCTAATGATGCTCCCCAAGAGGCCTGAGAAGATGGCATACCTGAGTTCAAGGGAACGATTTCTATCAGATTCACTCTTATCTTCAGACCCACGCGCCTTGTTCTCATGATCTGAGCCAGACATCTGTCATTTATAACCTATGGAGTATCAATTATAATAGTAACACCTAGCTCTTTTATGATGCTTTCCATCCCTTGATCTCAAAGCAGCTTCACAAAGGAGGTCAGTATCATTATTCCCATTTTACAGATGGGGAAAACTGAGGCAAAGTTGGTGCTCAAGTTGGACAGTGAAACCTAAGCACTTAGTTTCACACTCTAATTTACTTGCAGTAACACCCCAGTGCTGCCATGTTTGGATTCACAGCACTGTAGCGGGAGGGGAGGTTTAAGTCCTCTTTACGTATATATTAAATGTTTTTAAACAAGGTAGAGGAAGGGGAAAAGGACAGGAAAATGAAGTCTGCTTGAAAGATCCTCTTAATTGAAATTCAGTGGGAAACCCTGTTCCCAGAAAGGTGGTGAGGGCATGGCTGATGGTATGTTTGGCAAATAAGGAGAAAAACAAAGAAGCTATTGCCACATTGATTTGTTCTCAATTAAAAATATAAAAACAAACAACAATCCGAAAAGTAAGAAAAAACCCAGATGGGAAGAAAAATGCAGTCGACGTTTGCCAAAGAGAAATCGACAGATTGGGGGAGAGAGAGAGAGATTTTGTTTTCGGGTTTCTAAGAAGAAATTATAAACAGCATAGGGGGAAAAAATGAGAATCTGTCAACAATTCTCTCTAGCATTGCCTCAGATATATTGCTGTGATGCAGATAGACCACAGCTAATAGCAGTCACGTGGCGTTTACCTTCATTGTTGGGTAGTATGATCTAGCGGTTAGAGCATTGCCCAAGGACCTGGGGAACCTAAATGCTGTTCCCACCTTTGCCACTCACACTCTGTGGGTGAAATTCACACTTGGGCTGTGGAATAGCACGAGCTCTGCACCACTGATGTCTCGTAGATAAACCCCGTTATGGCGAGTTCACTGCTGCACAGGGCTCTGTGCTGGCATCTTGTTCTTCTCCTTGGCCTTCCTCCGCTTGGTGCTTGTACCACTCAAGAAGACAACTTGAATGGTTTGAAATGCCTAGAGCTCTTTGAACGACAGGTTCAAAACCTGAAAGAATCAACTCAGCCCCTCTGTTCTGGGGTACAATTCGGTTTAGTGTCCAAGTGTTTGGATGAGTGGTGGGTGGGTTTGGATGAGCCCTGTCTGTTCTGCTTGGGCAGTAGAGATCCCATGACGCTTCTTAAAAGACGAAGGGTTAGCCTGGCGTCCTCGGCCAGCATTTCTAAGACTCAGCTGAAAACTTTGGCAAGTGAGACTGTCATGTCCCTATTCTGCCTTAGTTACCCTAAAAAGGGCGCATAGATTTATTAAAGAGCCTCCATGCACCTTTGTAAAGAAGATAAGAGGTTGAATTGCGTTCGGTTTTGCATGGGAGAGTTTTGATAGACCTTCCATTAGCTCCTCCATGCCCCAAACCGGTTAGAACAAAGTGGGGAGCTCAGAAATCAGGACGAGCCACTGGAAATGCTGGTTGCATTGTTTGTCAGAGACACACACAGCAGGGGCTTTTGGAGAACTTAGTCTGAGCAGACAAGTTACCTGAACTGCACACCTGCAAAGGGTTTCCCTTCCTTGCTCCTTTGTCCTGACTGGGTTATTAAGCACTTTGGGGCAGGGACTGTCTCTTACTACATGTGTGTACAGCTCCTAGCACAGTACGGACCTGATCTTCACTGAGGCCTCTAGGCAGAACTGTGATACAAGTAATAATA